GAGAGTCTTTTGTTGAGCCAGGGGACTGGGCACCCACCCATAAGGGAGGAGCAGATGGAATGAGAGCCATAGATGAGCTGGGTAAAGGGGCTACCTGTCACACAGATCAGCTGAAGACATCAAGAAAGCAGGCTTTCAGTCTGCAAGGGCTGGGGACAAATTTCTAAACTAGAATGTCTCATGTCACATCCTTTCAGGCATCAACTTCAGAATCAAGCTGCCAGCAGGGTTACTTCCTATTGAGCTTAGAGAAAAAGCCCTGCTGCAGTCCCCCAGCCTCCCAGCCCCCAGCCTCCAGCCCCCAGCCCCCAACCCCTCCTCCACTCAGCCTGGGACTCGGAGCTTTGCATATTCAAACAGAATTCTACCTGGATCTGTCTTTGTTCAAATCTCCCCTTTTGCCAAGACATCAATCATGTTGGATTAAAGCCCACCATTATGACTTCTTAACTGTTACCCTCGGGAAAGACCTACCACCAAAGACAGGTGTCATGGCGCACACCTGTAATTCCAGCACTTGAGAGGTGGAGGCAGGAGGATCAATAAATTCAAGGTCATTCTCAGCTACATTAGACCCTGTCTTATCCTCCCTCAAAGAAGACCCCATCTCTAACTAAGGTCACATTCTGAGGGACTGAGTTTAAGACATCAGTATATAAATGGGGGCGGACATAGAAATTTTGTGTAGTGTAATGATCTTTGCTCGTTAGCCCAATTTTATCCAAAATAGCATGCAAACTAGAGAAGACATCTCCAGACGCGTAGTGCTGCGTGTCTCCTCATCGCTTAGTGTTGTCTTCTGCCAGGGCCTGGGCTTAGCCAGCCCAGAGTCCCTTCGCTGCTCTTAGTTAAGACTGGCTATTTCCTGCCAAGGGCTGTCACAGTGCGGTTCTCAGGACAGCAGCAGCTACAGGGCTGTGTCCTGTAGCTAGTCAAGGGACTACAGTTCAGTTGGTAGAGCGCTTGCCTAGCTTGTATCAAGCCTGGTGTTTGAGTCCCAGCACCACATATACTGGGTATACGGGGTATATTGTCATATGTCTATAATTTCAGCACTCAGAAGGTAGAAGACAGTGGATGGGAAGTTCGAGGTGATCCTCGCCGACCTAGTCCGAGACCAACCTTGGCTACCAGAGACCCTGTCTCACAAAAGGAGGCAAGGGGTGGAAAGATTAAGATGGGGAGTGAAGTCGGGCAGTAGTGGTGCACGCCTTTAATCCCAGCATTTCGGAGGCAGAAGCGGGTGAATCTCTGTGAGCTGGAGGCCAGCCTGGTCTACATAGCAAGTTGCAGGTCAGCCAGGGTTACACAGTGAGACTTTTTCTCAAAAGCAAATATTTCTAGGTCTAGTCTGTCTGCTGAGTGGGAAGCCCTGGGGATGGGGCTCAGCAGTGTGCACTTGAATAGGCTTGCATACCATCCACCCTGATGCATACTAAAGTTTTTGTTGGTGGTGGCTTTTTGGATTTTCAAAACAGGGTTTCTGTCCTGGAACTCTCTCTGTAGATCAGACTGGCCTTGAACTCACAGAGATCTGCCTGCCCCTGCCTCCCCTACCGAGTGCTCAGATCAAAAGTGTGTGCCACCACACAGGGCTTGCACACACACTAAAGTGTAATCCCTCTGCTTCCAGTGCCACAGCTCTAGGACCTTTTGGAAAAATGTATCTAAAAATGAGAGAAGGGTACCCAGAGCTGTTCCCTGTAATCAGCACTGCTAAGGGGTAGTTACATTTTTGCCAATGTAGCAAAACACCCTTGGAAACAGCTAAAAGGAGGAAGGATGTGTTTCAGCTCATGGGTCCAGGGATCCCTGTAGTGGTCGGTTGCCTCCATCAGGGACTGTGGGCCTCAGGCAAAGCATCATAGCAGGAGTGGACACTTGTTTCCAGCACGGAGCCAGAAAGCAGAAAGCGAAATAGACGACTTCCAGAAGCTTCAAACGCACACCTCCACGAATCTGTACTTTTAATTTTTTAGGTAGCAAGAAAGCTTAAAGATGAATTACACTTGGCCACGGTAAGAACAGAACTAGTCCAGGATGGCCCAGGTGCGGGGCAGGGTGCCAGCGGGACTGTCTTGGTTGTAAGGAAGCTAGTCTTTTTGGTGGTCTCAGTGAGCAGCTGGTGATGTACCAGATCCACTGAGACTTATTACCGACAGCAGCATACAGGCCAACAACTTGATCCAGCGTCACAGCTGTCAGCACACCTCCTACAGCCTTCTTGGGTGCACAAGCTAAATTACTTGGACCTCGACTTCCTCTTTCTTCGCTTGAGCTTCAGTTTACACATGCGCTTTTTCCTCCCCTTTGCTCTCTTGGTGCAGGAGTTTCAAGGAAGATGTTGCCAAGGCTGAGACCTTATTTTTATTTTTAAGATTTACTTTCATCATTTTAAAATTGAGTGCGTGCACACGTGCAGGTGACTGTGCACATGAGTGCAAGTACCTTCAGAGGCCAGAAGAGGGCGTCAGCATCCCTGGAGCTGGAGTTAGAGGGGGCTGAGTGACTGGACCTGGGTGCTGGAAGCTAAACCCTAGACCTCTGCAAGAGCAATACATGCTCTTATCTGTCACATCACTTCTCCGGTTCCCTAGTCTACTAGCAAGTTCCGGGACAGCTGGGGTTACACTGAGACTCTGTTTTTAAAACAAAACAAAATAGGGGATGAAAGAGAACTCACCTCTGCCCTGTTAATAATGCCTTTGCACATTTTGGGGGCATTTGGCAGTTTTCAAAAACAATCCTACATTCCTGTCCTTGGCTGAATTCAGCAAACAAAAGCGCTAGTACCATGAGGAGCCAAGCACTCTGTAGCAGGGTCCTCTCTCTGTCCCTTCTGTCTCCATTCAGGAAACCCCTAATTAGCTTCTGGTCCTTGTCCACTACAGCTCCTAGGCTGCTTGAGTCTTAAGACCTTTCAGTGAGCCCAGCAAACTGGGACTGTAGGCAATATGGTGACTGCATTCACCCTGGGGTGATTGATTGGCTTATATGGAACCTTGGACCACCTTCATTCAGAGATGCTCAAATCATACCCTTACATTGTGGGTGAGGAGAGAGGGACTTCTGAAGAGTGTGAAAGGCTAAGCCAGGGGATGGAGCGCTTCATGAGCTCAGACATTTTCCAGTCCTGTGCTTTGCTCTGTGTGTGTGTGTGTATGAATGTGTGAGTGTCTCAGTCATATAACCAGGGGCTATGATGTCATTGTTGGGGGAGGGGGTTTGCTTTCTGCTGTTCTGAGTACACTGCCTGACCTGGACTCAACCCTACCAGAGGTCGTGATCAGAGCCTCTGGTTTTAGTGTCTCATCACGCCTGCGTTTGTGAGGTGGAACAGAGTAACGACAAGAGAAGCCAGAGTGACAGGAATTGCACGGTTGTAGAAAAGTAGGCTGTGTGTGTGGGGGGGGGGGGTGGCCTCAGTCTTCTCCCCTCCCTCAGATGAGTGGCCTCTTACAGTTCCTGAAGATAAATGGTGGTGGTGCATGAGGTTGATGCTGACTTTAGTTTGACTGAGTTTGTCCTATGGACTGAATTTTTTCTTTTTAGCTTCTAGTTGGGCTGAGGTAAAAGGAATGCAGGTTTAGAAGCCAGCCTGCGTACACAGTGAGTTTTAGTGCAGTCCGGGCTACATATAGGGATAGAGGTGAAGGCAAAGTGGGAACAGTGCTTGCCTAGAATGCACGAGGCCCTGGTTTGATTCTCAGCACTGCACACAATGGCACATGCTTCTAAAACCAGACCTCGGACGGTGGGGGTGAGGGTCAGAAGGGCAAGGTCATCCTTGGCTACTTCAAGAGTGCAAAGCCAGGCTAGACTACTTGATACCCTACCTAAAAAGATAAATAAAAAGAAGTCTCTTTGGGCTCAGGGTATAACTTAGTGGTATAAGCATTTGGTTATTCTGTGTGAGGCCTGTGTTTGGTCATCCAGTACTGGAGGAAAGAGGGAAGGATTGAGAAGAACTTTCTGTTGTCGTTATTGCTACTAGCTTGAACTGCCTTTCCAGCGGAGGTGCCAACATTCAGAGTATTAGTGTATCTCGCAAGAAGGGTTTCCAGACTCTCATGACAAAGGTCATGCCCTTCTCAGCAAGGACCTCTGGACATGGTGGCTGACTCAGAGGGTTCCATGTATTTAGGCTGTTATTTCCCTTCTAGGATACAACAGCAGCCACATGATCAATGTCTTTTCTCAACATTAAGGTTGCTGTAGTCATATAAGTTGGGACCACAGTGAATTATATCTCGGGTCTATGTTCCTATTAAAAGAGAAATTGGGCTGGAGAGATGGCTCAGTGAGTAACGTATATGCCATACACGCATAGGAACTGGAATCCCAGCACTCATATTACTAGCTGGTGTGACCGCATGTGTCTGCATCCCCATTGGGGAGGAGACAGGTGGATCCCAGAGACTTACTGGCCACACAGTTTAGGGGAATCAGTGAGCTCCAGGCTCAGTAAGAGACCTTGTCTCAAAAACAAAATAAAAGGTAAAACAAACAAACTAACAAAAACAAAAAGCAAACAAACAAAACAAAAACTGAGTGAAATAAAAACTAACAAGTGACCTAGATATGGTAGTACATGCCTTTAATCCCAACACTTAGGAGGCAGAGGCAGGAGGATCTCTGTGAGTTTGACAAAGCAAGTTTCATACCAGCTGTGGCTACTCTGGCTGCTACATGTGTTAACATGCACACACATACACACATGACATAAAAAATGTTTTTCGATAAATATCTTCTAAAAAGAAAGGAAGAACAAGCCTGAGGAGAGAAAGTTTATTCAGCTTTCTTCCTGGGTTGTTACATAAACTCCAGACCTTCTGAAGCGGGAGACACATTGAAGAATAGACAATAAATGCATCAGACCTGCATCAGACCCGCATCAGACCCGCAAACCCTCCCAAGTGACTGTCCCTGGGCATCAGGGCTTGCACCAAGTCCATGAGCCTTTGTTAAGGAAAAGCAAAAAAAAACAGCAGACACCATAGTTTGAAAACAAAATCATCACATTTATTTTGAGTTCATAAATAAATGGGGGCTGAGGGGCAGGCGAGGGGTGCTGAGAGAACTGGACACTTGGCACTATGTTTTGCAACAGATGCCACAGCTACGATTGTTACAGCATCGGCAGCAGAAGACGCAGACTGGTAAGTAGGTGTCCCGCTTGGTCCGCGTTGGAGCCAGGAGCTGCATAGAATGGAAGAGAAATGAGCTGCCCTGCCTGGGCATGGGGAAGGTTGGGGGTCAGGAAGGGAGCCCCAATTGCTCTTACCGTCTCATCGGCCCTGCCTTCTGCCCTGTGCCCAGGCTGGAGTGCATCGGGCTGTCTTGCCTGTGAAAGCAGAAAGGGTACCTGAGTATTGCAGTCTCCAGCATAGCTTTCTGATTCAACTCTGCCAGCTTGTTCCTTCCCCAGGGGCTTAGGGACCTGTGCTTAGATGGAATTCCTGGAAGAGGCTTCACTGCCCTGATTTTCCCACCATTCCTTGCATGTTCTGCTTCCTAAAAGCACCCCACCTTTTTTGATGCTGAACCCTCCTCCTGGACACTACCCTCCCAACGGGTCTGCCTGCATCTTATAACCCCTTATAAGCCAGCCATCACATAGCACAGTAACTTCTCACCATCACTGCAATGTGGTTTTCCCTTTCTCAGCAACCCAAGGACCAATCATCGTCTGTACAGCTGTCCACAAAGCTTGGCACTGCCGGAACCACCACCACTCTCTCCCTACTCCCAACACTGACTCACTCTGCAGACCCTACAGACCCAAGGATCCTGTGCGTGCCTTTCACTCGAGTGCCCATTCTCCTGTCGCAGCTCCAAGGCACAAATCTGGTGTCTTTGTTGTCAGTTGAGACAGGGTTTTCATAGCCTAGGTTGGTACTGAACTTGCTATGTAGCCAAGGATGACTGTGAGCTTCTGGTTCTCCCTCCTCCGCCTTCCAAGTGCCCACACCAAGCCTGGTTCTGTAGCATTTTCTTTCTTCTTACATGTGTATGAATGTTTTGCCTGCATATATGCATGTACACCACATGCATGTCTAGTGCCCATGTAGCTCAAAAGGCATCAATGGAAGTGAGTTAAGGATGGTTGTGAGCCACCACGCAGGTGCTAGGAACTGATCCAGGGTCCTCTGTACAAGCATCAAATGCTCTAACTGCTGAGCTGCCTCTCCGGCCCCTTCTGTATCATTTTCTTATAAAATACTTTTGCTTGGCATTCTGCATCTCTGCCCTAGCTCTGGTTCTTCCTCATGACAGTCATTCTGTCCGTCATCTCTTGCGCTATCCACAAATAAGTGTTTCTAAACACTCATTGAAAGGCAGTTTAAGAAACGCCCTGACGGGGATGGAACAGCCAGAGGAACATTTTGTCTGACTTTCCAGCATGTTACTTCCCATCACAGCTGTGCAGCTAGAGGGGGGTGCCTCAGCCCTTCCGCTCCGGACCACCCTTGCCCCCTCAGTAGCTGCCCTGAACACTCAGTGCTGAGCCCCTAACTCCCGGGGAATGGCTCTCCCATTGTAGTAGGCCGGGGGTGCTCACCAGCTGCTGGAGAAAGGCGCTGCTGGCCAGGCTGGCGCTGAGGAGAAGCAGGAGACAGGCAGCCTGGATCTTAGCATTCTGTGCCATCGTGCCTTCTGTCCTGTGGTGCAGTCTAAGGACTTGCCTGGTGTCTGGGACCCAGTCCTAGTCCTTTTTATGGGACCAGCTGGAGGAGGGGACGCCTGAACCCCCTCCCCTTTGCCCTGACTCATTTCCAAGAAGATAGTGGCGCCGAACAGGCGGGAGAGATAAGCGGGAACAGAGTGACAGGGGACAGGGTTGTGTCACCCTCAGCCAGCAGAGGTGCACCCAGGGGGTGGGGCAGCTAGGGCCATGGACACAAGCCTCCAGCCAGCCACCTGTGATGTCACCCTGTGGCTCTCAGAAAAATTCCCCCCTTTTCCCCTAGACACTGCCCCTCACCCTTATCAGTGTCTTCAGTATGGCTGTCACTCACTGGGCTCTTCAGGACACAGCAATGGGGTACACACGTGCAGGGTGCATCCTAGAGTGAGTCAGGGCAGCAGCCAAAGGACTGGACAGATGCCCAAGCATAGGCTGCACCATGGTGTTAAATGTCCAGACCACAAGACGTAGCTGTCTGTTGAAGTCACCTTGTGGCTAAGGTGGTGGCGGTCATTATTCATAGCCAGAGCCAACACATTTCACAGCCCAGGATATGAACTAGTTCAATCTTTTGCACGCCAGGGTGCATATCAATTCACTGTGTCTTTCACACCAGTACCAAATCATGTTCGTGTTAACAGCTGATGTCACTTGGCTTCCAAGTAGATGACTGTGTCCTCTTGGGCTTTATTAAGTGTTTAGGCTTAAAGTCGCCTTCTCGGCACCGACCCCAGGGGCCTGGCCTGATCTAGTCATCAAACTTCCATATCTAAGCACAGGAGACACAGGAGCACATTAGACTTGGCTTGGCAGAGCAGACTATGCACATCACGCAACTCCCAAGTGCAGTGTTTACACCAGAACCACCTCAATTGCCATGCTGGGAGAATTTACACCACAGAAACTGGTACGCAGATACACCAGGGCATTTTTTTTTTCTTTTTTTCTTTTAGTTTTTCAACACAGGGTTTCTCTGTGGTTTTGGAGCCTGTCCTGGAACTAGCTCTTGTAGACCAGGCTGGTCTCGAACTCACAGAGATCCGCCTGCCTCTGCCTCCCGAGTGCTGGGATTAAAGGCGTGTGCCACCACCGCCCAGCTACACCAGGGCATTTGTAGTTTGTTTTTGGGGTACTATCGAATCCTGGGTGTCCTTGTTCTGATCTGTTACCTGGATCCCTCGGTGTGCATGGCCATGGAGACATTGTAACAAACTTGACTCCAGAGACAGGCTACTGGACACCATGCCAGACTCACACAGGGACCACCCAGAGTCGATCCTGTATAAAGCCCTGGGGACAATGTTATTCTTCTATTGCTGCTGCTGCTGCTGCTGCTGCTCACTAGGGCCCCTCACTTCCTTCACATGCCTCTCCAAGAGAGCATTAGGGAGTGGTAAGGCCAAAGACAGGGGTCTCAGAAACCAGAGACCATCAGGTAGGTGTACTTAGGTTGTGGCAAGTTCAAAAGGGCAGCAAGGTGAAACTGAGAGGCAGTCTTGGATCCTGGGAACAGGTGAGCCAGTCTCTTGGGGACATGATGGTATCCCTCAGGCCTGCCAGGCATCACTGTGGTTACTCAGGACAGGTTTCATCATCAGCCGAGGGCAGGGGTCACACACAGGCGCCAGAGAAACAGTGTGAGGCGACAGACTGCCGGGCCAAGCCTTGCTTTCTGGCCATCTGCCCTCTCTTGGGGGTGGGGGGGCTCAAGGCCAGGGCCCATTATTGGCTGGTGCAGAGGGGAGGGCTTCAGCCCCAGAGCCTAGGGATGCTCACAGGCCCTGTTTTCAAGAAGCTCTGACCCAGGAGACTCTAGCCCCCACCAACACTAGGGGGCATGTCCTTGATCGCAGATCCCACAACCCTAATCTGTACCCCAGGGCCTCAGTGAAGAAATTCAGTCCTTAATTCTCCAGCCATTTTCACACAGCCACAGTATAGCTGAAGCTTAGACCTCAGGACGGCCCTAGGACCCCTGCCTGTCCCCATGCCCAACATGGACCGAAACACAGACAGACAAGGCGGGGCCACACTGGCCAGTTTATTGCAGTTAAATACCTCTCTCTCTATTTTTTTGTCCATTTTTCCATAAAGAAAATTAAAACACACACACGCACACACACACACGCATACACACACACACATACCCACACACCCAGAGGGAGCAGGGATCCAGAAACAAGAGGGATGAGGGACGTGGCCTCCCTGCATAGGTCCAGGCCCCAGGGAAGGCGCCCCCAAAGCTCCCTCCTTCCCATAAGCACCCTGTCTCAATACCCCTAGAGACCAAGGAGGCAGCGGGCAGCGGGGCCTCTGTCCTCCTCCCTTGCTCCTCCTGGTGAGGACTGAGAAGGGAGGGTGGCGGACAGGTGGGCAGGTGGGCATCATTTTTGCAAGGAGGGGGGTAGTGGGCAATGTATCCACAGAAATGCATTATGTCTCCTTGTTTTTGTTAAAAATCTACTATAAAAAAACGCAGCTTGGGGAGGAGCATCTCCCTCTCTGTGCTAAGGGCTGGGGGAGGGGCAGCAGAGGCCGGCAGCAGCTGCAGGGTAGGTCAGTGGGCATCACTGCCGGGTGCTCTCGCCCACCATTTCCAGGTTGTGCTGCTGCAACTGAGCTCGAAGCAGGGCATTCTCATTCTTCAGCTCCTCAATCTGCAGGCACCACAGAGGACACATGAGCCAGGGGCTAGCCTTGGCATCCTGGGGCTCCCAGTGGGTTCCAGGTCTGCACCCACCTGCTGCCTCAGGAGTTCATTGTCCATCTGCAGCCGCTCGGCCTCCTTGAAGGTCTCCTGCATTCGCTGGTTGGTCTGGCGTAGCTCCCGGATGTAATCACAGGCCTTGGACAGGATGCCCCCTTTACTCTGAAGAGGGGAGCAGGCAAGAGTCAGAGGACAGGACAGCTCCTGTGCCTGGTGTTAGGTTAGACTTCCTGGAAGGGATGGGACACCTGGGCCACTCACCGCTCCTGTCTTGCTGTTGTCTGCATGACAATCTGGAATGATTTTTGAAAGCTGGACGATCCAGTTGTTGATCTTGTCCCTCCGTCTCCGCTCCACTGTAGGAGACAGTGATAGTCATGGCACTAGTAAGGATCTCACAGGGACTCTAGGCTCCCACCTCCCCATGGGCCACACTGCTTCATGAGAAGACCAACCAAGTCTCAATTCTCAAGCCACACTGTCAGGACAGGAACCCACACTAACAACTGCAGGCTTGTTTTCACTGCCTGCCTAGCACATGCTACACACTGGAGCCAACACGGAAAAACTACAGCATCACCCACACTCTGAAAATGCGGCTCTGGGCACTGGGACTCACACCTTTTTTTGAGGGGCAGAATCCCTTCATGCAGGATCTAGCAACTGCCATAGCTCCTGTAATCTTTGCATTTCATTCTTGGAATGTCCTTAGACTCTGGCTTCTCTAATTTTGCTTTTCCAATCTTTTTTTTTTTTTTTTTTTTTTGTCCCCTTGGGGATAGGGTCTCATGTAGGTCAGGCTGGCCTCAAATTGTGTAGCCAAGGACAACTTAAAACTTCTGACCCTCTGGCCTCCATTTCCTAAGTGGCCGGTCGCTCTATACGTGGTTTTCTCCACTGTTGAGATGGAAGCCCACACTCTACAATTGAGCTACAGCCCAGCCCCTTCTCATCTTCAGTGTGAAAACCTGATCATGCCTTCTCTGTTTAAAATTCTATTCCACAGCCTTGACAAGCTGCACTCTCCAGACCAGGACTATGGTTCTGAGGCCTGGCCTTGTGGACCCCATCTCACTTGGAATGTGAACCCCATACCTCGAAGACAAAGCATGGCAAGTACAGATTTCACTTCAAAGTCCAGACTTGAGCTTGAATGAAACTCTGCAACCCTACTGTTAGCTATACTGAGTGGCAACTGTCTGCAGACAAGGCCTGTGCCTTCTTCTGGCTTCTCATATGTTCAGGATGCCTGCCAGGAACCACCCGACTTGGAACCAGTTCCACAGCTTGTTGGAGCAGGACTTTGGGGTCCTTCTTTACCTCCAGAGCACAGACCTTCTACTGTTGGAGCACAAAAGACCCTGGCACCCCCAAGTCTCCTCTTACAGGAGGACTGGAGACACCTGTCAAATTTGTGGAGGGGAGCTGGGCGTGGAACCTGATAGGCTGTGGGAAAAAAAGGGCAAGAGGGCCACTTCCTAATGAGGGCAGTGAGGATGGAAAATGGGAAAGCTTGAAATGAGAGGGGTGGGTAAGAAGGGCTCCTTTCTCCTCAGATCTGAACTCATACCATGCCCATGACATTCCCTGCGAGGACCTCAGAGCCCAGGAACAGGCAGAGGCCACTGCTTCTGCTTGGTTACTTCCACTCAGGCATGAATGATTTCATTTTCCAAAGCAGACTCTCCCACTCTGTCCACGCCCTCTTCACAGCAATTGTTCTTTCTCTGAGATCTCCCCAATGTCCTGCCAAGGATGCAGCTATGCCAAGTTTGGTAATGGCTGGGCTATCTCCACTAGGCTTAGGGCTAGCTCACTGTCACCATCAAGTATGGTGGACTCTTCTGGGAACTTGGTGGCAGACTGCAGCAGTAAAGTTGGGTCTAGCTAGGGCCTAGAAGTACTACCACCACATTCCTTGTCAGAGTGCTCTACCTCGGGCTCTACAGGGCTTAGTGCTTTCCCACCTGCTATGTCCACTGTTCTAGAGCCTGGGTATCTGACAACCACACCTCAGCCCGTCAGGATTAAGGGTAGATGTGTGTGACAGCGCTCCTTTGGTCTGCATTTAGTTCTGCAAAATGTAGCGGTGTGTGGCTTTAAACACGGTGGACTCAACCCTGGCTTTGCCCTGGTGGTGCTCATGACTGAGAAGATATGTGAACAGGGTACTGTGCCCACGGAAGGGAGGCGTGGAGCAGCACTCTGCATGGGGCCTACAGTAGGATGAAGCAGAAGCAGGCGGATCTCTGTGAGATTGAGGCCAGCCTGGTCTACAGAGTTAGTTCTAGGATAGCCAGGGCCAGGGCTGGGGCTGTTACACAGAGAGAT